GGTTTTATATATATATATGGACAATTTATTTTGGAAAGCAGCGAATGAATTTTTTGAATTAGAATAATCCCATCCACCTTTGAAAATAATTACTAATATGCGTAGCTTTTTTTTTCATTGAAAAAATGTTTAACAATAATCTGGCCACAGCTTTAAACGCTTTTGCAATGATTGCAGTGAGTTTACTTCATGTTTTTACGTGGAGGGGAATTAATATAATAACATGAGATTTTGAATTACGTTCTTTATATTTGATAGACAAATGAAACTTCAGAACGAGCGCGTTCTGAAAATTCAGAGAATAAGTGCAATTCTGAAGGTTTATGCAAACATCAATCAATTGGTCGTTTTATTTCTCGAGTCTAAATTATTTTTGCAATTGTCCAAATCCTATCAGATTCTGACTCGGATTCAAATTCCGAAGCAGCTACCGAATCAACATTAGATGCCACCTATCTAACTTTTCTAACTCAAGAAAATGCTGATGGAGAGGAGTTAATACCTAAGGTGAAGAGGTTATTAAAAGAGAAAAGTGTCGGCGAGAAGTTGCAGGAGATTTTTAAGTTGGCGAAACCTGAGCAACTTAGAGGAGGTAATTCACCATGATATATCAATTATCTGCACGAACTTTGCTAACTTTCTTGTCCATAGAATATCGATGCACGTTATTACATTACATAATGTTGCAGGGGGTTATGTATCTGACAGATGATCATGTCTGTTTTCATGCATTTTTTCCGAGGGTGCGGGTATTGGATCATTGGTTTTACTTTTATGCTTGTAAAATTATTCTCGAGCCCACAAGAATCTGAACAATCATCAATTATCCTTTTGGTATACAGGACCTTACCCTGAAAGATGGTAATCTTTGGAAAAGATCTATTTATCGGAAGTACAGTAGATATTACTTTTCCCTTCAAAATGATGCCCTTATGTGTTATGAAGATCCTGTGGTACGGTAAATCGTGTTCGCGTGCTTCAAATAATGATTTCAGCATGTATACTTATCAAATTACTGTTTGCTTGTTGAAGAATTTGTATTGTCCGACAGAGATTATTGATCTTAAATATGCGTTGCGGGTAGAAAATAGTAAAAGTAAGGAGAATGGATTTAAAGTCATCACACCCAATCAAACTTACAGATTTTTGGCTGACACTAAACAATCAATGGATGAATGGATGGCTCAATTGGAGAGGTCGATATTGAGAGCGAATAGTGATAGCGATAGCGTGAAGGTACTTGGAAATTTTTTTTTTTTTTTACATATGAAACAATATGCACGTACCCAATGCTAACATACAATTCCTTTCATGAATACGAAGATCGTTATACCAATAGCGACTATACAAAGGATAGTAGACATTTTGTCGATGAATATTCCAAACACGATACAGATTAATACGCAAGATTCTGATGAGCCGTCGAGTTACGTTGAGGTGAGTCGGTAATTTTTCATTTCATTTATATGCGACCATCTCTTTTCAATATATACTAAGGATTACTTCTCGACCTGGAACAAAAGTACTTCTTTGCTTTTCCATCGAATTGTCAAGTCCTGTACAAGAATCTGAATGAACTTTGGGAGTCGCATAAATCATCACAATCAATGCAAGACTCCACAGCGACGTCAACACACATAATGGATTCGTTGAGATCAATCATGCCTCATAGACGGGAAAAGAGTGGTGACGAAACATCACCATCTTTTTCAACGTCGCCGAAATCTCAGAAAGCATCCAACTTTACTTCAAATTCGTTTAAGCGTCATGTTTCGGTATTATTTAGGAATCCCACGAAACATATCAGCACCTTTGATGAAAATCCTAACGAGGAAACTAGTACAAAATTCCGGAATTATTTTGCGTTAAAAAATGAACCGCTTAAAGCCAGTAAGGATTATATTCTTTGTTTATCGGAATTTTTTTTTTCTTCTAAATTTCTACGTTGATTACCTAACTAATATTTTTTTCTTTACAGCATTCTACGGGCATTACCTTAGGACGGTTCCGTTATACGGAAAATTCTATATTTCGGAAAATTACTTCTGCTTTAAATCTAAAGTCTTTAGAATAACAACAAATGTAAATATGATCTCACCTAAATTACTATGCATTTTAATTTTAGAAAATTGAAATTTTCTATTTCGGCATCTAAAAATAGATAATGCTGCCGTTATTAGATATTCATTTCTTTAAAAAGCAACAGTCGACATCGTCGGGGCATTATGGTCTGGAGAT